TTTTTTTTTTTTTTTTTTTTTTTAAATTTGCTGGCCTGGCGTGGGGTGATGTGCATCGCCCCGGGCTTGCTGGTGGAGCGGGGAGGCGGCAGCGCCTTTCGCTGCGCCCTTACGGGGGTGCAAAGGAGGAGGCCTTGGGAGAGGCTGCGTGCGGCCGTCCCACATTTTGTAACGGGAAAAAAAAGTGAATCTTTGCCATTCCTCGTGACCCACTTGGTGCAGGGCGGGCGGGCGAGAGGCGGTGTTGGCCAGCAGGCCTCTGTCGCAGCCCCCCCGCACCCCCTTGCAGGAGAGGGGGGAAGGGGGGGCAGAGCAGAGCACGCCGTGCGGGCTGGGGGAGGGGACGCGCATGCAATAACGCCGTGACCAGCGAGGGTCTGGAGGAGAGGGGCTGTGCATACAAGTTAAACCACGTTTAGGGGAGGAGTTCGGAGGAGCCGCCCCCTCTGGTGGGAACAGCACTGAACACACGCCCTTTTCCTCCTGCCCGGTAGCGAACTGCTCTCCCCGGGTCGGTTTCCTACTGGTGTTTCCCCCCTTTCCTCCCCCCCCCACCCCGAGAGGGCTGATTTTAGGTCGTGGGGAGGAGGAAACCGTGGGCCATTTAGCTGAACGGGCTGTGCGCTCCCCAGCAGTATAGGAGGTACAGGAGGAGGTCGTGGTGTTTATGTCTTCAGTTAACCAGCGTTGGACCTGGAGTTGCAGGGGAATCTTAGCTACGTTGATGAATCGTGATCGCTTTGAAAATCCACGGCATAGAGAACTTGCCATGCATCTAGAAGTTTACTGAGGGGGGAGGAGTGTATTCTTTTTTATTTTTCTCTGGAAAGTACTTGGAGAGTGAACTTGTAATTTAAATTGTCTGTGTAGAAAAGGTAAGAGGTTTCATAAGGTACTGTTGGAATGCTCTGAAATTTTTTCATTCTCAAGATTCTTTAAGTAACTGGTTGTAGTTTTATTCCCAGTAAGCCTGATCTGGTGTGTGGATCCTAGGTATTTTGGATCTTTTTGGAATAATAAATATGAAATTAATTGAGGCTGTGAAACCTACATATATACATTTATAGGTGATAGCCTTCATATTTAAGTAATATCTCTAATACGTCACAGTTTAAAAAATAGATGGAAACTAGGACTACTTTGCTAAGTAGGGAGGACTGGCACAGTGATTAATGAAACAGTTGGGTTTTCATAGCTCTTTTTTTGACCAGTAGTGTATTCCTGCCTGCAAAGGTAAGGGTAAATAAAGCTCAAAGTTCCAGTCTTAGGGAATTGTCTCGGGTGCAAAAGGTGGATTAACAGGACTGGGTGTCCCCTGCTCTGAGGCATCAGGCTTTGGCCTTTTGCAAGGCAGGATGTTGGACTAGAGGGACTAGTGGTCTGATCCTGAATGACAGTGCCTGCGTTCTGGAATACCGTGGTGATGTGACTTTGCTGCTCACGGTGACGCTTCAGTGTATGTTCCACTGGTGATTTACTTGCCAGTACTGGAGTCTTGCTACAGGTAAGGGAAGTGTTGTACCTTTAAAAGTATAGCTTCTAAGGTTGCTGGTATTAAGTAACTTTGTAAGCAATCATTTCTAAAAAGTAATTTGAAAAAATCTGTAAAATCCTGCAGTGTTGTGAAAGATCTGACTTGTCTTATTACCCTCAGTTGACAGGCACTGGTCTACAGGAAAATGAAGTGCCGAAGTCCAGCAGGCCGTTAGTAGCAGAAAACCTTTTGGCACGTGTCAGGAATAGATCTGCAGTCCGCTATCTGGCTGTATTTAATAGCCCTTTCGGGGGGAAAAAGTAAATATTCAGTGGCTAGTACGTTATATTGCTCTACTTGGTAGTAACTGGAGAACTGTCCTAATAGATTTAAATCTAAAACTTTTAAAATTGTGTCACTTTTTTTTTTTCCTGAATATCTTAGCTTTGTGTTGGTAATAGGGAAGTCTGGTGAAAGGTTCCTCATCAGAATAAGATTTAGTGTTGGAAAGGTTTTCCTCTATTCAGTGGTCTTTGAATTAATTTATTACATCTGCTAGTTTCTAGGCAATATATACGCA